CTCAGCCAATCAGATAGTGGCATTGAGCCGCCAGAAAACGCCGAAGCACGAATCGCGACGCAAGAAGCAGGAAAGATGGTGAAAGGCGCGCGTTGAGGTCAGAGCGCCGAGCTCTCATTGGAGGGATTAGTGGGTAGACGCAAAGGCTTGCTCCCCTTGTTCTCCCCCCGCTGTCTCCCTCAAACCAGAGCGAACGAGAGCGCCATCCGCCCCTCGCGCGTTAGAACGCCGAACGCCGGCGCTCTCCTTTCAGTCCGAGCTCGGCGCTGTGACCTCATCGCACGCTTTCATATCCTCCTCTCTCTGAGTTTTCTTCGTATAAACTACTTTATCTTTGTGAACAAGACAATGCACGATTGCCTGTGGGCGGGCAGCAATGGGTGGAACGCCAAAACACGTAAACCTCAGAGATAAATTCTCTGTAAAAGTTCTATATATTTAAGTCTAAATTTGGTTTCTATGATTCTTTCGTTGCAAGCTTGTAATGTAAACCACTATAATTTGAGCATGGCTTACAATTCACGCCCATAGGTTGCTGCTACCTTTTATAGATAAAGTCTTAAGGTGGGGGGGGGGGGGGCAATACTTTGTTTGTTGCTGAAGAGGCAGTACATAACGACCTGACTTCTTCAGCCTGAATGCTTAAAAATGCATTCTTATTGGTTCTCTATTCTTCCACCTCATGTTCCCTGGTTCTCGTTATACTTAACTAAGTCGTGGATGCATTCGCATTTGAGTCGAGTGAGGCCCTATATTTGCTGTTAGCATCCATCCCGTTGTTCAGACGATTCAGCGCTTGAAATCACTCGACGATATCTAACCCTACCCTAGAACCACGTATAGAAAGAGTCCGGTCAAAGGAAAGAACAAGGGTTGGGATACAGCGACAAAGCCGTCACCAGAGGGACATATTCCACCAGTGGCTGTACCAAACAATATCAAGCCAAATTAAATTGCTCACTCCCCTTACGAAAACGACAAATATAAATTGAGCAGACTGAAAAGAAAAAGAAAAAAAGTTATCCAAAGTAGCTGACGCACTACTGCATTCCCCCCTCAGGTCAACTGCCCGACTCGGCAATTTCCGAACAATTCCCCATTTATCTGGCAGCACTAACGCAGTTAAGCACTCCTTTCCCCAGACGATCGTCGACTGGAACGACCTGCACTCCTCCGTCGTATCACTTCAACACCCCAATGCTTTTCGCACGGAACTGGCAGCCTATATTCTTTTTTTTTTTTTTTCAATTACAAGCTTAAATATCAGTAGTGCCTGTATTATTTTATTAATGTTTCCCTATAGTTACTGTTTTCTCTAATTTTCGTTTTGCAGAAATTTACCATATGTATTTTTACTTACTTCAATAGAGTTCTGCTATGCCACACCGTGCAGCAACTCTCTCCCACCCACACTATGTAATGCCCCCCAGAGTCACTTTACGAAAAGAGGAAAGGTCAGCGTATCAGATGCTTGAGGACACACGCCTCCCCCCCCCCCCCCCCCCCCCCCCTGCCTTTTTCCCGCCATAATTTTTTACGCGTGCGGCAATCAATAAACATAAAAAAGGGGGGGGGGATCCCGATTTTAAAGACAACCAGTTCGCGCTTTCCACTTTTCTCCCGCTTCCTCCTCTCCCCCTTCTACCCTGTCCACCTTTGCCTGTTTCCTCCTCCCCCAGGGTGAGAAGGATCTTTTGCCTTGCAGAATCTCGAGTCTGGTCGTCGGCCTTTGAATCCGCCAGTGACTGTAACTTAGACTCTTTAGTTAAATGGTTGAACATCTGTTAAGCTCGCTCTAAAATGTTTGAGTTAAGGCTTCTCAGTCATCAAATGTTTGGACCTTTGACCTTTAGTCTTTGTGACACTTTTAGCCCTTGTGACACTTTAGTCCTTGTGACACTAAAACTAATGATCAGGTCTGTCTGAATATTCGCTCTATACTTCGTTTCAGCTACGGTCCAGACGCAGCCGATGCTACAAGCGCGAGCATGTGACCCAGAACAGTGCTTGCACTGCACGAGCGCGCGTGCTTGGCGGGGATGCTAAAAGCCCGGAGCTCGCGCTTGTAGCTTTGGCTGCGTCTGGACCGAAGATGAAACGAAGTATAGCACCGACTGGCGAATATGGGTTGGTAGTACGGCTGCCCGTAAAGTTAAAGTTACTGAATGTTCCAAAAGTACCACACGCCACCAAGTGTCCAATATGAAAATGAAGAATGAAGACAGTCGAGCTTTCCCATTTGGGGATGCCGGCTATCTTGACTCCAGGAGAAGGAGAAAAAAAGAAGGAAGACGCATATGAGACTTTTACGCGGGAGCTCCGAAGAGCTATTTTATTATGGCCGGTCGGAAGTTGATAGCCAAGGTAATTTTCTCTATGGTTCTTGTATCATGCCCAAAATGTTGTCTGCGAAAGCAAACCAACGACTTGTTTGTCCACTGGTGAGAAGGCTTTAGATAAGTGCGCACTGCCGCCATTTTGAAGCCCTTAATTATGTGGCTGAGCTTCTGAATCGAAGCTTTGGAGTTTCGGTACTCGGGAAACATTCAGTGATCTTAACCGGATAATTTAGATGTAGGCGAAACCAGCGCACGTCCGGTCGGGCAGTGACGATCCTTCGTTGCCGTACCAGAATTTTCTACGAATTTTTGAATTCTTTCTTGACGCGACTCTTTCTTAGACCTAATATGGTGCCTGGAACGAGTGTCCGACTTATGAATACTGCGTCTTCCAATGTGGTCCCCCGATTTTCGCCTGTTGGCGTCATAGAAGTGTCATGATGTTGCTGGTGCCTGCCGTGATTCTGGTGGTGGCACAACATCGGAGATGGATGTGAAAGACGCCTGTTCCGCTGCAATTCGCTGTCCAGCTTCACAGTACACTGAAGCTTCGGCAGCTAGGAGCTGGAACGTCGCGACGACAGCGACATCTCCGTTCGGGCGTGCTTCTTGCCGGAACTTCGACAACCAACCGCCAGGATCGCGACATCCAACAGCATGACACGTCGGCTTCAGTGACGTCATTTGTTGTTACTTCGAGGCCCCTTTCGACGCATGGGCGGTATGCGGACAGAATCTGAGGGAAAAGAGGAGACGAGTGTAGGTGGGGAGGTCCGAACGTCGAGTTCTGATTAGAATGAATAGTGGGTAGACTCAAAGTTAGCTGCCCCTTGACTCCACTTCACTCGTCGAACGCACTCGAACGCGAAAATCAAACGCCGGACGCCTGCGTTCTAATGCGTTCGACGACTGCAGGGGAGACAAAGGCAGCTAACTTTGAGTCTAGCCACTATTCATTCCAATCAGAACTCGGCGTTCGGACCGCCCCCCCCCTACACTCGTCTCCTCCTCTCTCTCAGTTTCTGCCCGCGTAGGGCGTTTTCACGTGATGTACTTCCTGCTAGGAATCTCCCCGGACGCCATGTTGACGAAATTCCGTCCTATGTCATTATATGCGCGGAAGCAGTGTTGTCACGCTTGCTCGAGTTCTTCCGCGTCGCGATCGCCTGCGCCTGCAGCAGAGTAAAGGCCCGATCACACTCTTGCAACCGAGTACGACCGAGAGAGACCAGACCGGTTTTTAAGCCTCTTGCGATCTCTTAGGACCAGCTCCGCTGCATCGCATCCGGTCTTAAGAAGTCGCAAAAGGCTTAAAAACCTGTCTGGTCTTTCTCGGTCGTACTCGGTCGCAAGAGTGTGAACGGCGCTTAATCGGCGACATAAAGGAGAATCGTCTGCTACTCGTCTATATATTTATATACCGTATTTTTCGGGCTATAGTCCGCCGACTGTACTCGTTTAAAAGTTGAATAGACTGTGCAGACTATCTACACAAGCGGACTATAAGGATTTTTGTATTTCAATATCGTTGATTATGACAAGACGAGACGGATTTTGTGAATGAAAGAGTATGTTGTAATGATTTATGTATATTATAGGATTCTTTATGAGCTAAGAAAGTTGACACATTTGGCAAGGTCCTGCGCGTCTATGAGAAGATTTTCGAGTGGACTAAGCAGCAGGTGCAGACTATTCACCGGATGCGGACTATAGTCCGGAAAATGCGGTATATGTACCTGTTTTTATTTAAAATGCAGACATTTGGGCGCTCGAGAGATGAGCCCGCCGGCGGCCAAAATGGCCCTAATACATGCCATCAAAACAACCCCCTCAAAAAAAAAAAAAAAAAAAATTTGGGTTTATGCAGATTTAATACGTCTCCGGTCGAATTTATTGTGTAAAATAGACGCCAAGCCCTAATCGTCTGCATGCAAACTAACAGGCGAAATGGTGGACGCTGTTCACCAGCATGGCGGAAAATGGCTTTCCGGGAGTGAAAAGGCGTATCGTGAAACCGTGCTCAAGGACGCTGTACACATCAGTCGAAGGCGCGTTCTAGGCACGGTATACGCCTACAACAAACAGATTTTTGTACACGGCGTGAAAGGCTGTTCAAACAGGACACGTTTTCTGCAGTTTACGGCGTCTGGAGCACTCAAAGCGAAGGTTTTTGCTTTATTTCCCGGTACCAATCCACTTTAAAACATTCTTTCTTTTATTCCTCGAGGGGAACTTATTTTTCGCTTTCGTCCTTGGACAGAGGCTTGGAGCGTGCCTATCACGTGGGTTCGGACAGCCACGCACACGCGGACCTTGTTGTCGTCAATACCTCAACTGTTATTATCAGTCTCCAAACTTCAGAAAATTGAAATTGAAATGGGGAGTAGACGACAGCGAGGAGGAAAGCCGTGCTGCTTGCGTGCACGGTTGATGTCCCCACTGAAAACATATGAGCGCTTTGCAACGTTAACGTTTTTCGAAAAGCGTGCATGTTTTTCTTTTTTTTGGCCTTGCACGGCATTTGCTGTGTCCTGTCTAAACAGCTCTTGAGATGTGCGCGCGCTCGCCTTCGCCGTTCCTCCGACACGGATGCCGCCTGTGGCGGCTATAGTCGGCCGGTCGGACCACCAGGCATCACCCTGCTGCTCCCCACCTCGGCGCCCTAGGGCCCGTGGCCGGCTTCGGCGTGCAGGGAGGCGTACTCCCGGCCGATGTGCGACATTTGCACGTCGATGGGTAGTCGGTCGTCGTAGAGGGACGGGGCCTGCAGGATGATGCCGCACGTGCCCACCAGGCTGGCCAGCGTGAAGATCCAGAGGAAGAGGCGGTCCAGCACCATGGCCACGTACTTCCAGTCCTCGCAGTCCTGCGCACCGTAAAGAACCGCACGCCGGAGCAGAGGGAGACAACAGTTTTACAATATAGAACTATTCCGAAAGAATAAAAATAGCGGCAAGCCACCTAGAATATAATCCATGCCTGTGGACCAGAAGTTTGACGTCATCACAGTGAGGTCGAGCGATGACAGAGATTGGACACGAGCGCAGCGTCATTGTTTGGCCGGGCCTCGTGTCCAATCAAGGCGTCAAAAGGCGCTCGGCATAGGGCTCAGGCCCAGTTGCTGAGTTGGCGGCATCCGACTGTGATGACGTTCTACGTAGGAAGAGGAGGATGTTCGCAGGCCTAGATTTCTAGGTGGTGTTGGGCAGGCACGCTGAGGAAAACGATACAATGAAACGACGCGCCAAGCAGGCCCTGACCGAAGAGGTACGGAAAAGAAAAACGGGTTCAAAATGGCGTCTGCAATCGACCTTTAAAAAGATAGCAATAATATTTTTGGGGACACGTCTCCAGTAGACGCGCGAGCAACGTATTACGCAGGGACAGGAAGCTTAAGGTTTTTACGCACAGAGGCCGATACAGGTGTTTCCAGAGCGGGTCAGCATATAATGTCTTTAGGAAAACCCAACGCGAATCCGCCGCTGTGTAAGCATGTGCTACAGTCTTTCTAATGATGATCATGATGTTTCAAATGAGGGTGGGCCTCATTTAATTTCGAGTAAGCTTGTCGAGGAGGAGCAAATAGTATGTATTAATTGACCATCATGGCTGTATGTTGTTGCTGAGCGTGTTTTGAACACGAACTTCTAGCACGTTCAGTTTACAAAACTAAGATTTGAACCTTTGTCTTACCAGAAGTATGTGCAGATTGTGCGAAATGTGTATTCCACGCTTGCTTACTCGCAATTTACGCCGCGCCTGAAGCCCATTATGATCCTTGCCGAAATTTATTTTGGACAGGACATTTAGAGAAACATTCGGGATCTCGCATAATTCGCCCATAATCGGCCGACTCTTCCCGCAGATATAAAAAACGCCGTCTTAACGATAGGCAAACGATTCTCTGAAATATTTTAGTATGAGCAGTGTGTTCACCACGTTTTATTGATGTCCGTTCCATTAATCAAGATTTGAGCAAATGATGCCCGTTTTATCGAACAACGACTGTTAAATCGAACGGTTTCTTAACAAATTAAAATAATGAACTCGATGGACGTTATTTGCCACTTACATCAGAAGGCTACGGGTTTGTTCGCTTGACTATCATGCTTCTTCAGGCCAACACTACCATGGGTATTCAAAATGCCATAAAAAAAAAAGCCCATTAGCATTGTTGAACTTTTGCGAAGCAGGGTTCGATGAGCAGTGAAATCTAAAACGGCGATTATTTAAAACTATGTTTTTTCTCTGGGTGTAGCCAAAGTAAATGCAATGCGACAGTGATTGGGGCCCACGCCTGGCGATCCGTCGAGTTCGGCGCGCTTCAGTGCGGTGCCGTTTTCGTGCCAAATATTCATGTAGATCCTGCGATTTCTATCGTAGAAGTATTGTGACGATTGAGCCACAGCGCTCTCCTTTTACGGAACCACAATAGTATGACGGCGCTGCGTGCCTTTCTTGTGTGACTGTTATGTGTTACGTCACCTGCTTCAGATCACGTCAAAGCGCCCGCTCACTGTGCGAGCAGCTGGTTCGAGCTGACGCCACTGGCAAATTGAAACATCTTTCACCAATCTTGCCACATGTGCTCTCCTCCTCCCCCGAGTTTTAAGTTTCAGCCAATGCTACGGGCTTGCTATCAAGCCGCTTATGGATGATCGCACGCAACTTCACGGCTTAGTAAAATACGGTGAAATTGATGGCTCCAGTTGACTACTGGAGATGTATACTCAATCGATTTGACATATCGCAGATGGAATATATTCGGCCCTTGAGCAAGCTATGTATGTCCGTGTGAAGAACAGGCCAACTGTTCACAAAAACTCTCTCTCTCTCTCTCTCCCCCCCCCCCCCCCCCCCCCCACACACACACAAGAAAAAAGACAGAACTCGAAACGTACGCTCTCGTCATCGTCTTCCTTGCGGATGTGGTCGGCGATGAAGAGAACGCTGTCGATGGCCTTGCGCATCTCGGGCGCGCAGCCCGGGGTGTCCGGCGAGGTGCCCGCCTGGGGCTGCGGCTCGGGGACCACGATCCGGGGCCGACCCAGCTGCAGCGGGTCCACTGCCTGCCCCGGGCCGGCGTCCGGGTCAGCCTTGTACTGGGGTCGCCGCATGAGCAGCAGTCGCGGCATCAGGTGCACGAACACGCGGCGCACCCAGGGCGCCATGCGGTGCGTCGAGGGAGACCGGAAGTGCACGTTTAGCACGCCCACCGTCACCGAGATGGACAGTGTGACGAGAATCATGGTGAAGAGCAGGTACTTTCCTAGAAGGGGCACGGCTAGAGACGTGGGAGGGATGATCTCGGCCAGTAGGAGGAAGAATACGGTCAGGGACACCAGGATCGAGATGCAGAGGGTGACTTTCTCCCCCGAGTCCGAGGGCAGGTAGAAGACGAGCACGGTGAGGAAGGAGATGCCCACGCAGGGGATGATCAGGTTCACAGTGTAGAAGAGCGTCTTGCGGCGCATGGTGATGTTGAAGGTGATGTCCGGAAAGGGCTCGTCGCAGCAGTCGTAAAACTCGTTGTTGTACTTGGCCGGCACGCGGAGAATGTCCCACTCCACGGACTTGTAGAACTCGCTCATGTCGATGCCGGTCTCGACGATGGCCACGCCCGGGCGCTGTTTCACGTGCTGAAGGTCCACTTCCAGACCGTCGTACGTCCACGACCCGAACTTCATCAGACAGTTCTGTTCGTCGAAAGGGAAGTACTCCACGTCGATCTCGCAGGTACTCTTGTACAGGGCAGGTGGCTTCCAGATTACCTTGCCCGTAGAGTACACCGTAGCCTTGTTCATTAGAATAACCTCGTAGTTGCCGTCGGCGCTGCAAAAATAATAAACAATGAAAACAATATATTACTGATTATTATAGGCGACTATTGATTGGAGACCTGGGTGAACACCTTACACGTATTGGCCTTAGCAACAATCTGTCAAAAACGCTCGGTGATTTCTGGACTTATGTTATATCTTAACCATCTATGACCTTAGTTGGTCGCTCGAAGCGCTCCTGGCAGCGCTTCAGCAACAGACCGTTGTTTTCTAAGTTACATGACTTTATGGACAAATAAATTGTACATTCCGCTTGTCTGTCAGAAGCACACTGCGCAAAAAGCCGATATAATCTTTACAAACTCGAAGGGGTGAACGACCTCAACTGCCAACACTCCTGGAAACGAGAAGATATTGACCATGTGCTTGTTTCATGCTCAGAATATGCAGAGGATCGAAAGAAACTGTACCGTCGATATGCAGTTAGTGGTCTTCCCTACTCGATCATGGAAAATCTTTACCATATTGCACCACGCAGAACTTCAGACAGAGCCTTCGAAGCCATGCTGACGTTTCTTGAGAAGGCTGGCCTTGTGAACCGCCAGTAAAGAGATATCTGATACAAAAGCCAATTTAGCTGTATCCGGGTGAAGTCTACACCGTGAACGTCTTACCACAGCTACAATATGAGCCTCCCCCCCCCCTCCCTCAAATCTCCCCCTCCCCTATTTCTTTCAACCGTCCCCGGTTAACCTATTCCTTAGCCGGGTAGCGACTTGCCCTGTAGTGGAAGCACGGACCTATCCCGGCTATCCCTCTTTGTACGGACTCTATAACTAGAACACCAGGGCCCGTTTGCTCGAAGCGCTAACCGCGGCTAAAGTTAGCCGCAGTACCTAGGAAAGGGATTTTTAGGTCACGTGACTGGCTCGGTAGGGATGCGGGGAAACATGGCTGTGCCCCAGTGAGTGAGCGCCGCTCGCTTTGGAACTAATATGTCGTTGTGGTTGCAATATTGGGCGTGTTAGCCAGCAACGAATGGTGCAGGAGGCTTTCGCTTTGCCTTACCTCACTTAAACCGCCAAGCATGGGCAATGACATCGCCGCATGTTTTAGATGGCAACGTCTTTGAAAAGCGGATTGTTGATAGCACACAAAAGCAGACAGCGTCCCGACACTTTTTTTCTAATTATCAAAGCATCGCGAGGAGAACGCTGGAAGTGTAATTCTAAGGTTCACGCGCGCTGGCCTTCCTCTTATAAAAAGATTTCAAGTAAAAAATCATAATAAGGTTTTAACGAACGCGCGTGCAAGGCAAAATTTGTTTTATACTTTTAGCTTTAGAACGGTTACTACTGCAGACGCCAGCAAGTGCGACGCGTGCAACTACAGTCGTAGCATGCACCTCGGTGCTTCGATAATTTAGAAAAAAAAGGTCTGTTGGGACGCTGTCTGCTTTTGTGTGCTATCAACAATCCGCTATCCAAAGACGTTGCTATGCCGACAATTATCGCGTTCATTTAGGCTTAGGAGTGCACAGAATAGAAACACTATATAAAAAATGCGGCGATGTCATTGACCATGCTTTGCGGTTTAAGTGAGGTAAGGCAAAGCGAAAGCCTCCTGCACCATTCGTTGCTGACTAACACGCCCGATATTGCAACCACAACGACATATTAGTTCCAAAACGAGCGGCGCTCACTCACTGGGGCACCGCCATGTTTCCCCGCATCCCTACCGAGCCAGTCACGTGATCTCAAAATCCCTCTCCTAGGTACTGCGGCTAACTTTAGCCGCGGTTAGTGCTTCGAGCAAACGGGCCCAGAAACACCCAAATTGATTGGCAGACAGTGCAGTTTGTTATACTATAGAATATATGCAAGACCGACACACTGTTTCCAAACAAGCCTGCGTTTGCCCACACCAGGTGTGGGCGCTGCGCGAGAGCAGAAACTAGATTCGCGTGTGGTGAAGCTTCTGCGCATGCGCCGTGACGACAACAGCGCCGCCGCAGAGGCGTCTCGTCAGTGTCGCTTGTTGGTCTATATAAGCGTTAGGGTCAGAATGATCCGTCATCTCCAACACGGTACGACACTGCAGCAAATGAAGAAAAATATGCGTGCAGTATATAGTTGCCGCGGCCTTCCGAAGAGTCATGTTTAAGGCCCGTTCACACTAACCGGGCAGACGACCAGCAATGCTTTCATACCTAATTATATATATTTATTTTTGCCCTGAAACATTTTTAGCAGTCTTGTTTATTCAGAAACGTGCTCTCTTATCATCAGTCTGTGACACTGAAAGCTAAAAAAAAATGGTTGTTAATATCTGCGAGCAGAGCTTTTGCTTAGACAAAGCTCCTATATATGCCAACCGTTGTGTGTTTGTTCAAGCTTGACGTCATTCTATATCGAACAATTAACAGATAGTATAAAGTCATTGGTTGATGCAGCATCTAGGAGCAAGAAGGATTCCTCATGACTATACTTTGTTCACCCTAAGCTGATAATACGGTGGAAGCTTAGTACTAGTTCGAATTAATCACACCTATCGCTACGTGATTACACTTTTGCTGCTATACACATAAAAAAACAGTCTTAGGCAATGCCAAAACAAAATGCGGTTGATTCATCCGGCGAGTGCGCAGTGTCATGTTGTCGCAGGCCGCGATTCTGGCGGTATCACAACAGTGGGAGTGGGTGTGGCAGACACAAAGCTGTTCTGCTGCAGGTGGCGTTCTAGTTTGAAGGTCGACAGAAACTTCAGTAGCTAGAAGATGGGACGGCAGGAAGAGAGCGACACTCGCGTTCTCTCGTACGTTTTGCTGGGACTTTTACCACTAAACGCCAGGATCACGACATCTGACCTCATGATGCTTCGGCGTTTGCGGCGTCAATTGTTGCCACTTCGGCACCATTTTGATTCACGGGACGAATAAGACGCCAAACACGCCAGTCAAAGGCGAGTTCCCGGCACCGTCGTGAAGCCATTAAAAGCCGTTGTCCAATAGTAAACATCTACAAATGTGCGTAATTTTCCACTTTTTGGAAGCAAATAGAAAACTAAACACGGGACGTACGGTTGGTTTTTCAATATTTGTCTTGCGCGGCAATCCTAGGAAAATTAAAAAAAAATAGATACTCGAAATTATTTTTTAATGTAATACGGTACTTTTTTCTGAACCTTGTGGGAACCGCGGTCTCCCACAGGAGTTATGAATTCCATGGGTTTTTTAATGCCTCAAGGACGAATCAATTTCTTTTTACTTTAAAAAAGATTTTTTTTTTTTTTTTGGGGGGGGGGGGGGGGGGGTGCAATTTGATTCTTCCGTCTGTTTTATATAAAAAATGGAGTAAGTTGCCTTCACTCCATGTGTACATAGGTATAACTGTGTTAAATTGCAATGAGAATGATCGTCCGTTTCTCTATACCGCTCCTCAATCGATTCGAAAAGCTCTTCCTGAAAGCCTCCGAGCGGCAGTCAACCTTTCGCTAAGAGAGCCCAGAAAAGCTGTAATCGCTGACAGGATTCGAAAGGGAAGGAAGTCCTTCAGTTGTTCCGCCTCCAGTGCGAGCGTCTTCGATGACGCTTCGGGGTCTCGCGAGCCTTGACCGTGCACGCGCAGACAAAGCACGATGGAGGGCAACGTGTGCGTGCCGGAGCCACACCGATCAACTCCACTAGAATTTTGACGTCATCACAGCGAGATCGAGCGAAGACAACGATTGGATACGATGGTTTCGTCAGCATTCGGCTGGGTCTCGTATCCAATCCACCCGTGGAAGCATCGGGTTTTGGGTCCGATTGCCGAGTTGGCACCATCCGACTATGTGATGACGTACTTACTACATGGATGAAGTGAGGGTGTTCGTAGGCATCGCTAACTTTAGGTGGTGTTGGCTGGACGCCGGGCATCGCAATAGACGTCCCGCCGTTCCCATTCTGACAGTACGTTACTTTTGCGTTGATTTTTATTTATAAACTGACGGTAACAGCGTTGTTTGTTTGTTTGTTTTGTTTGTTTTGCCACAACGTTTTTTGACGTTGGGACAAAGGGCGTGGGCGTTTTCTTTTTTTAACTTTTTTTTGCGCGGGGAAAAGACAGGGAAAATATGGAAGGAATATGGAATGGGCGCAATATTCAATGACCTGGCTCCTGAAAAATATGAAAGCGAGACAGCGCGGTGCAGCCTTGTGTTACCCAACAAATGACCATTATGCTTCGTTTCAGCTTAACTCCAGACGCAGCCGACGCTACGAGCTAATGAGACCAATCAAGCAGTGTGAGAAGTGCAAGTCACTGGTCCCTTTTGTTTATGATTTGTTCAGCGATGATAGATCATAACGAACACAATCAGGGTTCCCCTTTCACGCTATCTCATTGATTTCCTCAGGTCGTAGCGTAAAACAAAGTATAGAAAAACGAAAAAATAATTAAGTGTATTTTTTTTCTGGTTTTGGGAAAAATATGTAACGAGAAGCGTAATTACGTTACCCGTTACTCGAAATAAGTAACGTACCGTATTTATTCGTATAATAGCCGCACTATTTATAAACAAAGTCCTTGTGTCTACTTTCCCACAGAACACATACACATCCAATGACTGCGTTGAGCATAAATAACATTGTGAATAACCAGATGGAGAACACGATTATCATTACAAATGCAATCTTCACGGATGGCATCTTCGCACGAAGACGTTATTTCTGTCCTGTAAACAGCTGGAATCATGCTGTCAATCGCTGTGATTGGCAATCTGCGTGCTCAGCGGAAAAGCGAACTCTGAGATTTTCTTCATAAACAGTGCGGCTATTACTCGAGTAAATACGGTAAGTGTTACCCGTTGCTGATTTGAGAAAGTAACGTTCCCTAAAAAAGTAACGCGTAACCGGTGACGCCGTTACTTGTAACGCGTTACAGCCAACACTGGTTTAAACCGACTAATCCTACCAAACAGAACTCGGCGTCTTGAGGTCCCCGCGTTCTCTGGCCTCCTCTTTTCCTTCCGTTTCTCGACGGATAGGTCTCCCTGCAAATCAAAGGCTGTCCCTCTGAGGCTCCTTGGAGGTTCCTTTTGAGCTTTTCTTTTTTTTGAGAGAGATTTGATTACCGTCGTGTGTTGTTTGGCTACTCTTGCATCGACCAGGTATGCGTCGTCGGTATCGGGACTTGTGTAACAAGAAACACTGAGGTATGGCTTTTGTTCCCTTGTCGTACGAATAGGGTCCAAATTCTACTGGCTGAGAGCCGCATTGCTCATTCATCGTACAAGAGATACGGTGATCTTTGCATACACGATGACACAATTATCTATGCAGACGCTTCGAGCATCTTTTGTTCCTAGATATGTATGCCTCAAACATGACTGAAGGCCGTTTCTGCATGGGCAATATGACATGATCGCCGTACACGGAGGAAACAAGTCTCGGACATTGTCTGTGGGCTGTCTTTTGTATGATGTATAACAGTGTGACCTCCGCTCAACGGAAGTTCGGTCCAATTTCTACCGGTCATCAGCGGCATTTTAAGCTGGTCATACACAAACAGGTAGATGAAACATAGCTTGCCCGTATGCTTTCCAAACTATACGATCTGACGTATCTGGCGCACAAATCTTCAACCGAAGGAAGTAGCACGGGTTTCTGTTCAATTTGTCATTGTATGCTGCCAGCCGACGCGCAGTCTGTGGCCAAAGACCAGAGAAAACGTGAAGCTGAAGCTCACTTGAAATCAACATTGCGCATTGAGAACTTACTTGTTGAAAAGCACTATGTCCGGCAGCCATAGACTTTCGGCAGGCACGTGAATCATGTCCACTCCACCGTACTCCTCCGGGTTCCAGCGGAGCTTGTAGTCTTCCCATTCCTGCAAGTATGTGTCGTGCAGAACCTCTGCCATCTCGAGGGGAGGTACCAACCGTCTGCGCGATATCGCTCTTTGGGATTGTACGTATGAAGCCCCTTTGCTATAGGGAGTATTCGCTAGACGCCATATTTGCGGGTGCTGTTTAGAGCGCATGCTCAGAACGAGCTCGCATCAATAGGCTGCTAAGACCGGCATTCTTGATGGTGCGGAATGCAAGTTGCAAAATAACTGTGGAAGCTCGCCATCAGCATGCGCTCAGCATTCGCGCACGTAGCTATGGCCGCCAGTGAATACTCCCTATAGTCACTGACAGAAGGAGAACGGCAGGACGCTTCTTTGAAACACCCGGACTCAAGCACGTGCTCCGTGCCTTCCGCTTTGGCCGCGCGTGCGCTCGAGGACTACGATACGCAGAGCCGTTTATTTGGAGAGTTTGGCCATACATTGGTTTGAATAGGCGAGCATCTCGGGGCTAACCACAGGCCTCGAAACAGCCCCTAGCGGAGCTCTAAATATTTTTACACGACTAATTTAAGCCGTTTTAGAGTCGCTAGAGTAGGAACATGCACCAAGTTTTCAGTCTTGGTGACTGAAAACTTGGTGCATGTTAGGGTTTCGTCACGTCCATATTTAGAGGTAGAATAAACGAACGTGCGGTTCAAACCAGGGACGACCTGCTGGAAACAGCGTCTCAGCTGAGACTGGGGGAAGGAAAGCACTGCCAAAGCCAGCGCACGAGCCGTGCGGGACCGTCTCAACCCGAACCGAGCAAACCGCGTCTCAAGACCCTCGCGCGCCCCACCCTTTGCACTGTTTTAATAATAATATTAATATCTTTATTTGGCTCTGAAGAGCGGCGGCACCGCTGAAAGGCAACAGCCGTACCATGGAGGCCCGCGGTGCCACGTCTAAGGAACATGATAATACGATGAGTATATACAGGATGTCACAAAAGAAACTTTACAGGGTTTTTGTCACCGCAAAAATAAACTAGGCATCGCCGAACGCTCATTCTCCGCCCAAAGGTAGCGCTAGAGGTCACAACCAGATGCCAAAGTTTCAACCCGATCCGATACCTTATTCAACAGTTATAAGTGATTTTCTGTAAATTTCAATGGAAAAATGGAGCCCCTTTTCGCCCGTTTTCGGTTTCTGGTGCCCATAGAACCCCATGTATTCGAAAACTCCGTCGGTCGCAATTTTCCCATTGAAATTTTCAGAAAATTCCTTGTAACTTTTGATTAAGGTATCGGATCGGGCCAACCTCTGTTGCTCTGTCATCGCGCGACGCAGCAGATGTTGGTTGCACTATCACTCCACAGGGCGCGGTGCCGCCGGGGCTGAGATGCGGTCCGATAGCAAACCGTAACTAAAAAACCCGTCGATTTTGTGCGATTTTTCAGAAAGCCGTAAAATGCTTCGCGTGCCTTCTTTCGTTCTGCAATTTGTTGACAGTGTGTTTCGATGATGCTGAGAAATTTTCTAATTTAAAGCATGCCGTTAAACACAATATTAAAAAAAAGTTAATTACGCGAAAATAATTAAGAACTTAATTGTCCCGGACTTTAATAATTTTTCTAAATGGGGCCCCTGGCCCAGGACCAAAACGCCATAAGCCTTTTTTCGTTGCGATGAGTAGTTTTCGCAGGAGCGATTTGGCCTGCGTTCTCTGAAACACCCTGTATATATATATATATATATATATATATATATATATATATATATGTAATGATGCGTACAAAATTAGAATATATATGTGCGGGGCGCAAGTTCGTCTGCATCTTGCAAATGACGTCAGCACGCCGAGCTATGATTGGCTCAGATAAACGGCTAAGATGGAGGGATAGTGGGCAGACCTCAATGCTAGCTACCTTGTGATCTACCCAAAATCCTTGAAATCGGAACCTATCAGAGTTCGGCAGTTCCTACGTCACCTCAACAACTGCTCAAGAAGCAGACAAACCTGCGCTCCACATAGGTACACAAATCGGAAATGGTTTAGGGCTGCCTGTAAGATGGCGCCACTGTGTTTCCCCGTCGTAAGCAGTCACGAGCGATTGCAACACGCTCGGTCATGCTCAAACACAAATGTTTGAACCAGGCTTAATGGTAGACGTCGACGGTAATGAACGTCGCAGCATGTGGATAGCTCACCTGTTCCAGCCATATATTGGTCGTCATCACTTGGTGCTTGAGGTTCTGGAGAAAGAAAAAAGAGACAGCGAGCACTTTAAACCAGGGAAGCGTGTGGGGAATCCCATGAACCCATAGAAGAGTGCACAGGGACAGTTATGTTCAATTTCAGGATCAGTCCTCCGTCAAAATTTACTAAATCCCTTGTCCCACTTCAGCAAAAAACAGCAACGACCGAAACCAACCAACCTCAAGCGCGTGTAGCGTGCCCGCGAAAGTATTCGCTCTTTCTCGCGTGTGTTTAAGCGTGGTGGCGCTAGTGTGCAAATAGCTCCCAACCACTTCCGGTTTTGAACCTCACGGCGGGTTTCGCAGCATTTGCGAAATCAAATATACATATTATCTTCTGGAAATGGCGACTTATAGCACTGTCAGTCAGACTTAATCCACTCCTATAACAAGTAGTCTTGTGCGAATAGTGGATTTTGAGTGCGAAGCGAATTCGAAGCAAATAGCGGGTTTGGCCGAATATTTTCGATTCGAATATCGAATAGTGTTTCTACGCCTTTCACTACCAATGCATAATGCTTAGACGAAAACCCAGCTAAACCTGTAAAGGTTATTCCACTTTTTGATTCATAAGCTAAGCTTAATCTATCTATATTTATGAACGGTGATCTCAGAAGGTCTGGTGTCTTGGGATAGCAAGTAAACGACGGATTTGACATAAAATGAATCTTATATAGACGGCCAACTTTACGAATTGAGTGAATTTACAAATCTGGATATTTAAAATATTCTTTCTTTAATCTCAAGTTAAAAAGAATGAGTCGCGTATGATGAACACAGGTTGTAAAAGCATCTCTGCTTCACATAGTATACTCTTCCATAAAATTTTAATTTTGAAACTTTTACTACAATGTAGATATACACATTCACAAAGCTTCCATTTATTTTCAACTATAGTCGGCATGGGTGCACTATCCCGCTTTGAATGTATGCTTTTCTTGAGCACGCAATTACGATTTTGTTTATCGCGACAGGTTACCTCGTTAGGTGCGCTTCTTAGCGAACAGCGATGTAATGCGGAGAAGCAACACCCGCAGAACTCACTTCCGCAGGTTTTGCTTCTCCGCAGCGCACCGGTGCTTGGTAAGAAGCACACTCAGCGGGGCTAACCCGCCGTAATCAACACTTCGAAAAACGCGAATAGTGCAGTTCTTTTCGAAGAGAATTCGAAATTTCGAATATTCACAGAACCCTAATAACAAGAAAAACTTTTTGCAACGATTTATAAAACTTTTTGCTGACGATTGTGTTATTTATCGCCGAATTCTGGATCCCGGTGATTGTTCCGCCTTTCAGTCTGACCGAGATAACATTTCATTTTGGTGTGGCACCTGGCTAATGAAACTTAACGCTACCCAATGAAAGTCGATGAGACTTTCACGTCATTCTAATCATGTGTTATCGTGTGACTACTTACTTAATGATGTTTCTTTAATGGAGGTTTCCTCCTACAAGTATCTAGGCATTACAATTTCTGATAACCTTTCATGGCAAAATCACGCGAACCACATCACAAAAAACGTTAATCGTTCACTCGGTTATCTACGGCGTAACGTTTCTTTAGCCACAAATAACCTAAAACTTCTGCTCTATAAATCTTTAGTCCGATCAAAGCTAGAATACGCATCATCAATCTTGGACCCTAATATTAACTCTCTTATTTTACAAATAGAAGCCATCCAGAACCGTTCGGCGCGTTTCATTTTTTTCCAATTACATCCTTACTGCCGGTGTCTCTTCAATGAAATCTCATCTTAACTTGCCCGATCTTTAATTGCGCCATAAAATGTCTCGTCTTTGTCTCTTTCATAAGATCTATCATTTTAAATCTCCCCTCAGTGATTCCCACTTTCTGCCACCATCGAATATTTCCTCCCGCAACGACCACCAGTACAAGGTTGGCGTGTCAAGCAGCCGCACTAATTTACATTTCTACTCCTTCATTTTCCAAACTTGCGTGGACTGGAACCACCTCCCCGCCTCCATCGCCCTAATCACCGATACTGTCCGCTTCAAATCTGCCATCTGCATTCATTTTTTGTAACCCTGCTGTTGTGTTTATGTTGACGTTTATTATTATTTTTTGTGTTTATTTCGCCCACTCGTCTCTGCAACGCTTCGGCCTTGATAGTAAATAAATAAAATGAACAGTGGGTAAAAAATCGGGGAAATATACGTAAACCGGAAGTGTGCAGGGATGCCCAACAGATGGAGCCACTGAGTTTGTTGCCAAACAAAAAAGAGCGAATAGGGTGTCCCAAGCAACGTTGGCTCCAAGCGGGCCTTCCACTGTAAAACGAGCCGGAAAAATTGGCGTCTATACATAGAACGCTCAAACTTTCACCAAATGTGCACTGAGCCGTTTAGTCCTACCTTGTGAAATTTCAAGGCGTAGTTCTCTTTCTGTAAAAAGCGCGACGATCGGGTGCTGAAAAGCAGACATGCGAAAGAAATGCTTGGGGTTCTCCTCCTGTCAGTGACTGTAGGACATAACAGATGTTTAGCGTCGAGTTCTAAAGTACACCGCCTCTACATTGACCATATATAGTACGAAAGGCTTCTTTGCTCTTTTATCCAACAACACCGAGCTTTGGTCATCGCCAAATACTTTTTAAGGCGTGTTTCTTCAAGTGCAATGAAACTTCTCAGGAATCTGTCTTAGATGGTGCATTTATCATACTCACACTTTATGAGTTCAAGGATTTAAAAAAAGCAAATATAAAAAAAAAATTTCTTCTATGCACAGGGAGGAAGACGGCAAAAACTGTCTGGTTGCCGCTGCTGCTCATGGATGACACAGCATTAAAGCAAAAATGTGAAAGTTTCTTTGAGATGAAACTCCAAAGCAGATCCAGATGGCCCAAGCGTTTGTGTGGTGCCATCTGTGAATGGCAGTGTCAACCGGATGGTTTTGGTCGTTTTCCTTCTTAAGCAAACAAGAAAAAAACAAAACAACAACAACAACAACAACAACAACAACAACAACAATAACAACAGTTGTTTAAGTTTAATTTTTCCCTCTAAAAATCTCCACTCATAAATTTTGAGTATGGTAAATTCAGCACCTCAAGACATCTTTGTGAAAAGTTTAATTGCGGCCAATTCATTGGCTTATTTATATATATATAAAAAGAAATCACGCCCCAATAGCGCTTGAGAACACCTTGTAGTTCGAAGCACAGATATATGTATAATGCAAACACGCTTCGGTGATGTTTGAGGCGTATAGGCAGATAATTCCGTCATCATGCCTGTGTCTTTCGCATCATGCATGAGCAGCGTGTGTACGACTTTACACTATCATACATCATCGTAACGCCCAACAAAAAGATGGCCTCCCCTCACTCGAGCTTGAATAAGGGATTTATGTAACGGAACTTGCTTCTCCGGAGACGTCGCATTCAATCGTGCTCGCTCGATTAGCTCAACGTTATGAACCTGGATGCAATGTCCTGACGGAAGCCAGGACCCAGAGGCCACGCCGAATGCAATGTCAGGGCGGCCTAGCGTCTGTCCTGAGAATATCCCACCCTCCTTTCCCGAAATCATGAAGTCCCTATCATTCCGTTCTTTTAGCTTCAGGTTCGTACTCTCAATTGTTTCTCTTCTCGGCGTTCTTCCGTTTCGTGAATAACCAATTCCGACGCACCCCTAGAAACAGCTTATTTTCTATCTCTGCAACACTCCGCCTGGGGAATCAAGTGCGGAACGCGAATGAATGAATGACGCAATAGAACGTAAGCCTGCATCTATCGGTGCTACGTCCAGGTATATAGACGGCTCCAAATCCCCCGAGTAAATAATAAAAAAAGATTCTTTGCGACAAGAATTGCAACATGAGCGATTGAACTCAACGCGCACCAAACGCACCAACACCAACAATGGCAGCAGCAGCACGTAGCAGACTCCACGTAGAACGCCCCATACACGAGCAACCTTCAGTGTGCTCCCCAGACTAAGTATAGCCTTCACCCCGAGCGCAAACAAAGGACGAGAACGTCGACGGCGACCGAGCATCCGGGCGGCAGGCAGCACAAGTCACTCTCGCACACCGAGGACGGGTCGCCACTCACTATGTCGATGAGCTGCGACAGCTTGAGTCCCACCACGATGGTCACCTTGTGCGAGTGGTTGCCCACGGGCCGGATGAGCCGGTTGTAGTCGGACAGCAGGTCGTCGTGGAGCCTCTTGGCGTCTCGAGACGCCGCGGCGGCCGCGGCCAGCGCCAGCGCCAGTCCCAGCCTGCTGAGCAACATCCCAGCTCCGCCGGCCATGCCAGCGCGTCCTCCGTATGCTGGCTACGACGAGTCCCCGCCTCCGCAGCGGCCGCCGCCGGAGAGCGTACATCTGAGAGAGGGGGCAACTCACAGTTCTCAAACCGCGGAGAGCGCTCGCAATATAATGGTGGACGTCTCTGCGAAGACTAAGAGCGTCTGCGCGTGCGCGCGTCGTCCCGTGGAGAGGAGAAAAGAGGGAAGAGAGGGGGAGAGAGGCGGAGTTGCGAGCAGACGATCGACGCTTTCACCACCCCTCTCGCAGCGAACGCAGAAAACAAACCGCGTGACCTCGGTCGGGCAGTTGGAAACACTCCGAAATCTAGGGACACTAGCCACCGCCTTCGATGCCAGCGCCGGGGGACGGCGACGGGCGCCGGGAGCGTTAAGGGAGCTCAGGGAGTGTTGGGGAGCGCGGGAGCTCTGCAGCATCCTCCGGCTCTTCCCTGCGCTTTTTCCCGCGCCGTGCTTGCTCCCGAGACTCCGCGGCGATGCGTCGGCGGCGGGGTTCTGAGTAGGCTACCCGTGGCGGCGGCTGTGGCGGACGGAGAAGGTCGCTTGCAGGCGGTGCGCGTGGGGCGGCGGGGCCGCGCCCAGTGGAGGGCTCTTGGCCGCCGCAGTTTTCGTGCGTTTTATGGAGACGCTTTGGCTTCGCTCGTCGTGGTGGCTGCCTCACGCATGCGCGGACTTTGATTCTTTTTTTTTTTTTTTTCACGCTGGGCTTTTGCGAACGCTTGGAGTCGTTTATAAATTCGACCGCGGGACAATCTCTTTTTCGCTACTCTTTGTTGGGGTAACGAGATTGTAGCGCTGAAGAGGGAAATTCCTCATGCTATGAAAACTTCGCCCGACGCCTTATTGTATGCGCAATACAAAAATGAGATGCATTGCACGCTTACGTTTACACATGATACCCCTTATTTTCGTGCTAAAGGGCAGCTATCGTTGAGGGAGTTTTATGCTTAAAAGGTAATCTATAGTGTGATCGTTTAAGTTCACAATTAATTTATATATTAAGAAAAAACAATCAAATCACTATTTGACCTTTACTCTGAAACAAACTCCTGAAGAAAACGAAATGGAAATATGTGCATGAATCAAAATAGTATGCGCAAAAGTGAGAAATGCATTTAAAGGGGCGGTGCAACGATGTTATGATTAAAAGAATTTGCATCTCGTAATTTTTCAGTTGTTCATCGTGTCCCGGAGAATTGGGAAAACACCTCCTTCATTAAAAATGTCGCGATTCCGCTGCATAATCGCAAAGCAAAAGTCGAGCTTTTTCCCCCACCTGCAGCCCCAAGTGGCAGCGGAAGGAACTACGGCGAAAAGATTACGTGACCTCGCTCGGCTTTAAGCTGCAGCCTAACGCCCGCTAATGTCAGCAGAGAGAGGGAGAGGAAGCGTCCTCCGAGATAGCACACGGGAACCTACACGACACTCCGAATGACGTTACTAGGAGGGGTACCAGGTGTTACCCTGAAGACTGGGAGTGAGTTGAGGGGTGCCCGAAATGCCAATATTTATCTTTTTTTTACGCAACAACTAGAACACGCAGGCGAAATCCGTTTTCTGTTCTTTACTTCAGAAGTGTCAGAGGACAACTTCCAGAAATCTTTGACCGAAGTCCGGAAATCGTTGCACCCCCCCTTTAATGCTTTAAAAAGCTGAAGGAGCGCGTCTTATTCTGACCTCAAATGCGAGACATTTCTGCTGAAAGAAGAAATACACGTGGCGATATACTTCCTTATTAGCCAACGTTTGTAGTTCGTGACATTGATGCCTGACACGACTCAGAGTGTTATTTCCGTAGACGATGGCATTTCCTCTACATAGACGCGATTCACGAAAAAAACAAACAAACAAACAAAAACAAAAAACTAATAAATAAAGCGAATGTACAGCGCTCGAAGACGATCTATGGAGATCGCTCAATGCTCGACGTTGCCCGAGTTCAAAAACATAGAGCAAGATGCAGGAACTTTGAGTTGACGAGCCCCGCCGTTATTTTTACAATTTAGCACTCATTGTTTATAGATAGTAATATTAGGAGAGCTCCACGATCTGTACATAAAAAAAGCGAAACTTTTTTTTGAGGAAGTAGCAGTTTTATTTGCTGATCATTTAGCCATGACGGCCTACACAACGCCCTAACGCCAAACATTTTTCTAAATTTTTATATAAGAAGTAAGGCGTTCTGGGCCGTTCGTAGTTTACTACGCGGGGTAGACTCTGAGGGAGAGGAATAGATGAGAGCGCAAGCGGGGTCGTCACAACAGCGAGCTCTTGTTAAAATTAGTGGGTAAAGTCAAGAATAGTTCTCCTTCTCTCTCTCTCTCCTCGAACGCGCTCGAACGCCAAAAGTCGGCGTCCGGCGTTCGGCATTCATATGCATTCGAAGAGTGAGTACAGACAAAGACAGCTAGCTTCGCGTCTATACACACTAATCATTCCAGTCACGGCTCGGCGCTCTGATATGACCCGCATGCTTTCATCTCCTCCCCTCTTTAAGCTTCTACCAGTATGGACATTTGGGTGAGTTGGTTAAGCATTAAGAATTTATACTTCTTCTTTGTCATTCCGAAAAATCCGGCGAGCGTAGATTCTGTCGTGCGTGCGTTATGGTGAATTATGCTCTGGGAACTTTCTGCGGCTTTGATGCGTTGCGCACACGACACGCTCACGTGTTCACCGGGGTTATCAGAATGATTAAGACAAGTCTAAATTTATTCGGGAGTGGAGTGCATGAGGAGTATGCTTTAGTGTGAAGTTTACGCGGGATCTGCAAATACTTCACTAGTAACACATCTTACTCCGTGAAAAATCCAATGGCATTAGCACCGGCAGTCTTTGAGTAGTTGGCACGGCCGGACACGCCCAGTCACGGGGATTTCCCCTCTGAATTGTCAGGGGTGGCTGCCGCCATCTATCGCCCTGTAAACCCGTCGAGACAGTGGAGACAGCCGTCTTTGCTGTCTTGGGGAATCCGGTAGCGCAGCTTGAAAGCGCTACGGTGTTGACAGCGCGATTGTCACAAGATTGTGGGCCGGCCTCCCACAAACCAGGTGTAAAACGTGACAAGAGCAAAACCCACCATTTGTTTTGAAAAAAAAAAATGTTAGACTGACTGAAAGGCGATATGGCCACGCCCGGTATGAATCTGAACGGGGGAGGCGACAAGAGGGTAAGAGTAAATCACCAATAAATTATTTCATCCATACTTTAAACGAAAGCTTTTAACAAAACAAAGATTAAATCCAAAACTTAAAACTAAAACGTGCTCGCGATTTCAGCAGATAATTGGTAGGAATAACAAAAATAAACTTAATACAAGCCACAGTCTAAAGGCGCATCAACGCCAGACTACATAAGGATAAAAAGTCCTCTCCTGATCGCCGTCTTCGCTTGTCCAGGGGCTGCGGTGTCTTCCACGTTGTCTATATGTCCGGTCCGTCGGGCGATTACTTGCCACGTTGCCGTCGTACCGCGGCACAGTACAGAGAGAAAGCGGACTTGGGGGCAGAACGTCCTTCTAACGGCGACTCAGCCTCCCGTTGTCTTCGCGACCGCAAGGCTGCATGTCACACTGCTCCCTGGACTCCTCCAACTCCTTTCTCCCAGATCAGCGAAAGTTTTCACAAATCCCTAAAAATATTGTGGTTGAGAAAACAATAAGCTCCTTATGGGAACAAACTGCTGGTCACGGCGGACTTCAAGGATTGTAAAAACCACTAACTCGCTAAATAATTACCTAAAATTTACTACGTAGCTTTCTGATCGATGAAAACAAGCATGCATATCATAAACTTGCTTAGCATCTTCAAAAACCGCTAAATCAACTCATTTTAGAAATATAGAAACAAAAATATTATTTTTGCGGCGTTAAAAAAAAAAGAACGTTTATTTTGGACGCATCCTTCTGTTTTGGTTTCTTATCTAAGCGTATCTTTGCGCGAGCGGTCCTGCTCCCCAGTGGACGAGACGCGCAACACACGTGCGCCATACTTCCTCCGTCCTACGAGGGTGTCGAGGCGGTGGCTTCGCGCCTCTGCCACCAGGGAGTAGGACCGCTGGCAGAACGATGCGCTCCGATAAGAGACCTAAATCTAAAGACGCTGCAAAATAGACAGACCTCACTAAAGATTCTGTTATGTTACGACGTTGAGCGTGTGTGTGTGGGCGTTGTAAAAGTATATGAGGGGGGAGGCGAGGGCCAATTGTAAATGCGCACCGGGCGCGATGGTCAATGGCTCGACGTTGAGCGCAGCGAACGTAGCGTAGCGCAGAACGCGCGCGCTTCATTGGCCGGCGAGCGGGAACTCGATATCTGCGACCAATCAGTATCTGTTTGCGTTGCGCTGCGCCACGTTCGCTACGCTCGACGTCGGGGTATAAAGGACTGTTTATACTCCGACGTTTAGCGCAGTGAACGCAGCGTAGCTCAGAACGCGCGCCTTTCATTGGCCGGCAACCAGGAACTTCATATCTGCAACCAATCAGTATCTGTGCGCGCTGCGCTACGCCGCGCCCGTCGACGTTACGTTGGAGTATAAACGTACCTTAACAGTGCCTTAAGTGGTCGGCGCATGCGTGACTCTGCCATAACTTTAGTTCACACCAATGTTACTAGATTAGCACAGTTGCGGAACGGCTTATCGACGCTGTTTGCACGAGCAGCGTAGGCAGTACTCTGCCTGCGCTGTAAGAAGGCTAAGCACATTCGAAAAGACTGGCGTGTACCCCGCTGCAACGGTTGTCACGGTTTTGGGCACGTGGATGAGGATTGCCCTCGAGCTATACGCGGCTTCTCTCCGGACCTCGACGTCAGAGGACACATCGGAAATGCAAATGGACGAGGCAGAAGCAGAGGCGACTGCATGCAGGAAGCGAAGCCCTGGCTCCGGCAGGAAGCCAAGCAACCGAACCCCTGTCAGGTCGACCTGCTATGTCTGCTGCAGTTAACAACGCTACCGCAAACACCA